TTTTTTTTAAAAGTGAGTAATTATTAGCACTGAATTTGAGAAACTAGTGAGATTAAAAATAAAGAATTATCCAAGAGTATACACACAGTTGTGTGATTCACCTTCTGGATTCAGAGTTTAAAATCAGTCAAGATATGAAGAAGGGAGTGAAAAAGTTCTCCTGAGATATTTTTGTGACCCCCAAGAGTCATTCGACTTGGAGATCGTTGGGAACCTGAAGGGTCTGAAGCCAGGGAGCCTTCTGGCACCTCGCAGCCGAGATGGGGTCTGAGGGCAGCAAAAGGGGAGACGGGCACCCCGAGACAGGACAAGGGCCTGTGCAGTCCACACTCCCTCCGCAGAAAGAATGCAGCCCCCATGCAGAGTACCAGGGGAAACGCTGCAATTGTTCTTTGCTCCTGCTTCCTGGAGTACTGGGAAAGATTCGCATTCGAGAGAACCCAGAAAACGGGTGCCCGCCAAAGGCGCACGGGAAGACCTCATGCCGCGCCTCGCTGCGCCCACCCGGGTGTGTTGGTTCCAACGGGGCAGTCCACCAGCTGTCCTCCCCATCCGCAGCTCCGTCACCCAGACTTCGATCCGGAATCACAGCACTTGTGATTTGGCCCAAAAGTGACACACTAGCTATTCTAACCAGAAAGCCTGAACAGGGTATTTCACAGAGCTCTGGTCTGGGGTTCCCATGGCTCTGCCCCCTGGGAGGCAATTACAGGATAAGCAGGTCGAATAGTAAATTCCTTCACAATGACTCCTATGGCGGGAGGATTTTCCTAGTCACTACAAAGTGTTGGCACAAGCAGTGGATATAACTAGAATATAAATGCCTCATCCAAGGCAAATACAGTGCAAAAGTAAAAACCTGAAACCTTTCTAATCAGCTAATTACAGCTAAAACTTGAATTGTAGAGTGTTTGCTTAATTGAGTCTTTATGATTCACTGAAGTTTTTACTTTCATCATAAACAGGACAATGTGGAGAAAAGGGAGAAGGTAGTCAGATTTCTAAAGTTGAGGTTGTAGTATGTAGAAAGTGATTTTGTTATAGGGATGGCAGTGTTGGTTCAGCATTGGAAGATCCACCCCCAAAAGTCATCATTTTAACAGAGGAAAGGAAAAAGCCATA